ACCCCTGAGCACCCCCAGGTATGGCCCCCCAAACAAAAAATATATATGTAGAGGCAGGGAGAAAGCTCATTGGGCTAAACCCATGCTTTGCATGCCAGGTTTGACGTTAACACTGCCTGTTCCCTTGACCATGAGCCAGGTTCAGCCCCCAAACTCTCACAAGACAAACAAAATAAATTTCAAAGAGAGTTAAAAGGACTTTGTTGTCACCACTACAAAGACTTACTGCTGACAAATTTGGGTAAAACCCGATCACCCAACCTCTCCTTGTCTCCGGGGCTTCATGAGTACAGAGAGGAGAGTAATACCTTCTTTCAGCTGTGAAAAATGAAGAATGAAACGAGGTTAAAAGATGTGAGTGTGCTCAGCAGAACCTAGGATAGAATGAAACGACGCTATCTCATAAGAGCTGCTTTCTCGAGAGAATAGGACACACTGAGTGGTCTCAGGCCAGGGAAAAGACTGAGAGGGCTGCAATTCATGCTCTGCCTGCCGGAGCCCCAGGTTTGATTCCTAGTACCATATATTCCCCACCTTCCCTGCCAGGCATCGCCAGAAGCAACCTCTGTGAGCACTGAGCCAGGAGTAGCCTATAAGCACCAGAGTGTGGAAAAAAAATATATGTATTCTGTCATATTATCATGAGAAATAGTACATATTCAGTAAAGGATTGCTTACCCTGATAATGAGTGAACGTCGACAGCTAGTAAATTAATGAACAGTCCCTTTGGGGAAATACTAGTCATGAATAAGAACACTAGACAAGTGTCTAGAAAATTTCCAGCTGCCACCTCAGAATTCTTGTTTGGGTGCTGGACGGATAGTATACTGGGTAGAACACTTGCCCTGCAATCAGCCAACCCCAGTTTGATTGTCAACATCCCATATGTTCCCTGGAGCACCACCAGCAGTACTTTCTGAGTGCAGAGCCAAGAGCTACCCCTGAGCACCTCCAGGTGTGGTCCCAAAACAAACAAACAAAAGAATTGTCACCATCCCCAATATAGCTATCTTTTTTTAAGAGGCAGGGGAGGTAGGAAACTCTTATTTAGTGAATGGCATCTCCCAGAGGCATCCAGGCTTCCTTAAGGAAATTAAGGAGCCCAGATCTTGAATGCCACACCCATTCCAGATTTTCAATGGAAAGAGACAACAAAAGGGCAGGAAGGAGCTGTATCACAGTTGAAAAATAGGCATGCGACAACACCCGAAAGGAGAGAGAGAACAGAGGGGAATGCCCTGCCAGAGAGTCAGGGTGGGATGGGGGGTTGAGGGGTGGGAGGGATATTGGGATCCGTGGTGGTGGGAAATGGGCACTGGTGGAGGGATGGGTATTTGATCATTGTATAATTGAAACCCAAGCACAAACTTTGGAAGTCTACAACTGTACCTCATGGTGTCTCACTAATAAAAAAAAAAATTTTTTTAAAAAGATTCATCAAATGAATAGAAACTTTGACAAAGAAGAAATATGAATGGCTAAAAGACACATGAGAAAATGTTCCACATCATTAATTATCAGGGAGATGCAGATCAAAACCACAATGAGATATCACCTCACACCACAGAGACTGGCCCACATCCAAAAGAACAAAAGTAACCGGTGCTGGCGCGGATGTAGCGAGAAAGGGACACTCCTTCACTGTTGGTGGGAATGCCGACTGGTTCAGCCCTTCTGGAAAACAGTATGGATGATTCTCAAAAAACTAGAAATTGAGCTCCCATTTGACCCAGCAATACCACTCCTGGGAATATATCCCAGAGAGGCAAAAAAGTATAGCAAAGTGACATCTGCAATTGTCTGTTTATTGCAGCACTCTTTACAATAGCCAGAATCTGGAAAAACCCTGAGTGCCCGAGAACAGATGACTGGTTAAAGAAACTCTGGTACATTTACACAATGGAGTACTATGTAGCTGTTAGAAAAGACGAAGTCATGAAATTTACATACAAGTGGTACTACATGGAAAGTATCATGTTAAGCGAAATGACTCAGAAAGAAAGGGATAGACATAGAAAGATTGCATTCATCTGGGGAGCATAAAGTAACAAAATAGGAGACTAACACCCAAGAATGGCAGAGATTAGTACCAGGAATTTTACTCAATGACCCGGAGGACAACCACACATGTTAGGGGGAAAGGGAGCTCAGAAAGAGAAGGGAACACCAAATAAAGGGTGCTGGGAGGATCCTCCCAGGATGGGAGAAGCATGCTGGGGGTGGACTATCGACCAAACATGATTGCCACTCAATGCCTCTTTTGCAAACCACAGCACTCAAAAGGAGAGAGAGGGAAATGCCCTGCCACAGAGGCAGGGTGGGATGGGGGCTGGGGGGTGGGAGGGATACTGGGATCCGTGGTGGTGGGAAATGCGCACTGGTGGAGGGACGGGTGTTTGATCATTGTATAATTGAAACCCAAGCACAAAAATGTGTAAGTCTGGAAAAAAAATAAATAAAATGTTTTTTAGTGGGGAAAAAAAAGATTCATCAAAAAAAAATATATATATATATGTATAGGCATTTGGCACCATTCACAATAGCCAGAATCTGGAAAAGACCCAGTGCCTGAGAACAGATGACTGGTTAAAGAAACTTTGGTACTTCTACACAGTTGAATACTGTGCAGCTGTTAGGAAAGTCATGAAATTTGCTTATAAGTGGATGGACATGGAAGGTATCATGCTAAGTGAAATGAGTCAGAAAGAGAGGGACAGACATAGAATGAGTGCCCTCATTTGTGGAATATAAAATAACATAATATGAGACTAACACCCAAGGACAGTAGACACAAGGGCCAGAAATATTGCTCCATAGCTGGAAGCCTGACTCATGAGCTGGGGGAGAAGGCAGCTGGAATAGAGAACGGATCTCTAAGTCAATGATGGTTGAAGGATTCGTTCGGGATGGGAGAGGAGTGCTGAAAGTAGATGAAGGACCAAACGTGATAGTCTCTCAATATCTGTATTGCAAACCAGGGTTGCAGCCACTACAGCCTCATGCAAAACAAGTGCTTGGCCTCCAGTACTGAAAATGAGGGCTGAGTGTCTTCCCTCAGCAGAACACCAATACTGCCTCTGCTCCATCGTATGAATGTTGTCCTGGGTTTAAGGAAGTCACTTCTCAGTGACTGGCCCACCTGGAGCAGTGTGCGGTCCCGAGAGTGCACGCTGGTTAGGACAGGAGCCACCCACAGCCCTGCTCTTCCTCCCGACAGGCTCCCCTCCTGCTCTCCAGCCAAAGGGGTTCCCTCGGCGCCACCAGCTCTGAGACCTGTGTTCTCCCCAGACCGCATGGGACAACCAGAGAAATGAAAGAGACCATGGCCTGCCCAAGGTGTCTGGGAGGCGACCCTGGTCCCCTTTTAGCACTTAGGCCACAGCAAAGGAAGATCTCGGTACAGTTTCCAGGGGAAAGGGCGGGTTAACTACAGATTCTTGGCCATGAAATGCTTCGCATGTACCCACATTCAGCTGTGAGATGGTGCTGTTGGTTTTCGGAGTTCACTTGCTACTGCCTTGGCTTCTTACTCATCCAGAACCCCGCCTGTCACAGTTACTAATCTGACTTAGTGGTAAAATGTTTGTCAGAACTGGACCATAGCAATAGTACAGTGGGTAGAGCATTTGCCTTGCATGTGGCCAACCTGAGTTCAATCCCCGACACCCCTTGACAGGAGTGATCCCTAAGCTCAGAGCCAGAAGTAAGCCCTCCCGAGTACCACCAGGTGTGCAGCAATGCCCCTGTTCCCCCCCCCCCCCAAAAAAAAAAGGTCAGAGCTTTTTGCTACTTGGCCCCTTTCCTTTCCTCAAAAAAAGACCAAAAAAAAAAAAAAACAGAACAGACTATAGGTTAGGACAAGCTGTAACAGACTGGCGTAAGCCTTTAGTTTGAAACCTTGATCATATCTCTCTCTCTCTCTCTCTCTCTCTCTCCCTCTTCCCTCCCTCTCTCTTTCCTTCCCTAACTGTCTTTCTCTCTCTCCCTCCTCTCCCCCCTTTCTCCTCCCCCCCTCCTTCTCCCTTCTCCGGAGAAGCTGCCCCATTGGGTGCTGTTGGCTCTGATCAGACCAATGAGGGACTTCCAGAGCACCTTTGTGCTGCTGTGTACCCCAGGGCCCTGTCAGGGCGGTACCAGCTGGAGGAGACTGAGTCCTTCAGCCTTTAGTCCCTTAGTCTCCTCATCACTCTAGACCCATGCACATCCCAGGACTTGTCTCCATTCCTGTCCATGCTCTGTCCATGTTCTTTGTTGGTGCCCAGTCGCAGCTTGTGCTCCCTCATGAATGTGTATCAGTGTCCTGAAAAATTCCTGGAACGTGGTCAGCGTCTGCTCTCCCTCTGTTGGGCATCATACCAGACCCCTCACCCCACGCATACACACACACTCTTCGAAGCCCTTGCTCTCCATCCGTGCCGACTACAGTGCTCTCTCTGCCAGTAAAAGCCCCTCTTCTATCCAGTAGTTCTGTCCAGCTTTTCTAGGACAGCAAACTAAGCCATCGCTTCCTTGTTCTGGGGAGCCAGGTCAGCACCTGCCTTGCGAGTGCTCCCTGAAGGTAGAGCAAGGGGCCCTCAGAAGCAGTTCCCTACCTGTGTACCACCAGACTGCTGGATTTTTGAGGCCTCGTGCGTTCCTGGGAGCTGTCCCCTCTCCCGGCATGCGTGTTTGTATCAGAAAGGAAGCAGTGGCGTCATGTGATCTCCAAGTCCTTGCTCCTCTCCTGTGCTCTGTCCCGCCTGTCCAGGCTTCGAACCCAGACCAGGTAGGGATGCCTGGGCAGCAGAGGTCAGGGAGGGAGCCGGCAGCCTCAGCACTGGGTGAGCCTGTCTCCCAGAGAAAGGGAAGGGCAAGCCCCAAGCCCAGTCCACTTGGCAGGGAGGACCACCCAGATTCCTCAGGGCTGCATCTTGCCTTCGTACACAACTCCGGCGGTTTGCTTGCCTTGCACCCAGATTCAGTTGCTGTCTCCTTCAAGAGTCGGACGCTCTCTTATCAGGTCCGGTAGCATCTTTGACAACAGTCGCCAGGAGCCCACGGGGCTGACAGCTGCTCTGCAGGCCACGGACCTGGCTGGAGTCCTGCACATGCTCTACTGCGTCCTGTTCCACGGCACCATCGCAGACCCTGGCGCTGCCAGCCCCAAGGAGAGCTACGCTCAGAACACGGTCCAGGTGGCCATTCAGAGTTTACGTTTCTTCAACAGCTTCGCGGCTCTCGATCTGCCCACCTTTCAGGTATCCAACTTTGGTCAGTGTTGTGAACTTAACCAAGAGTGGATGTTTGAGTGCGCACCAAGTGTGAGGATTAAACTGCAACAGTAACGGGAATTAGGGCCACGGTGGTGCCTTGCAAGCGACCCGCCCCACTTAGACCCCCAGCACCACATATGCTCTTCTCCTAGCACTACTGGAAGTGACCCCTGAACAAAGGATCAGGAGTAAGCTCTGTTCACCACCGGCTGTTGTCCACCCAGCAGAGCGATAGCACAGCGGGTAGGGCGTCTGCCTTGCACGCAGCCAACATGGCCGTCCCGAGTTCGATTCCTCCGCCCCTCTCGGAGAGCCCGGCAAGCTACCGAGAGTATTCGATATGCCAGACACAGTAACAACAAAGTCTCCAATGGAGACGTTACTGGGCCCTCTCGAGCAAATCGATGATCAACGGGAGGGCCTTTTAAAGAATAAAAGGGATTAAAATCCAAAACACTATGTTTTTATCTCCTGGGACTGTATTATGCATGTGAGAATTACCTTTCTCATTTGTCTCAAATGTATGAAAATGCCATTTCTCATACAACCCTGCAAAGTAGAATTTTACAGATAGGAAAACTGCAAGTTTGTCATTTACCCAAGAATGCTTGTGGCTGAACTGAAACTGGTACCATGATTCTTTGACCTCAGGGCCTTGCCACTCTGCTTCTTATAAATCTGCTGTCTTGATTCCTTTAGGTAAAGATATTATCATCCCATCAACTTTTAAATGTTAAGAAAAGTAATGGTTTCTTGTATAAACAGAACCAAAAATTAGGTAAATTGTTTTGATTGATAAGACTTTCTGTAGATGATTTAACTGATTTGTGTCCAGTGTAAAGTGCATGTATAGTTAAATGTACAAACGCCTATAAATTAAGTTTTTATAGCTAAGGAAAGAAAAATTGCTTTTATGCTATTACACCAGACTTCGGCTTAAAAAACAGATTTTTTTTTAATGCAGGAAATTTAATTTTCAAATACACTGAACCTTTGGAACAGAGCACACTCCAAGGACTAGGCTTTCTCTTCCAGTTTATTAACTGTCAAGTGATTTCATTTAAAAAGGAACAAACTTGGCAGATGATGAGCCCATAATTTAGATGAATTGCTTTGCTCAGAGGGAAGAAGTTTTCATAGATAGGAATAATGGAAATGGTGGTCTTGGACCATTCCAAGATGGGAGAAATGCTTCTGTTTCGTAGCTCATGGCAGATGTGCAGTTCTTGTCTTCCTATCGCTGCGTTTGCAGCAGGAAATTAGTAAGTAAAATTGGGTCACTGGATTCAGTACCTTCCAAGTCTGTGCAGTTCATTTACCCAGCACCAGAACAGAAACGAGGTACTGAGCAAGAAATGCTTTTCAGTTTCAACGGCGACTGAACAAGCCGCAGAAGGTAAGTAGTCAATATGTAGAATTCTGAGAGTTTTCAACCACACCTAGGACTCTGATCTAGAAAACGCCAGTAAGGGGCTGGAGTGATAGCACAGCGGGTAGGGCATTTGCCTTGCACACAGCCAACCCGGGTTTGATTCCCAGCATCCCATATGGTCCTCCGAGCACCACCAGGAGTAATTCCTGAGTGCAGAGCCAGGAGTAACTCCTGTGCATTGCCGAGTGTGACCCCCCCCCCCAAAAAAAAATAGAGAAAATGCCTGTGAATCTGTATTTCCAGAACACCTAAGTCATTGTGTTCTCTGTGAAAATGATTTCTCTGTCCTTCATGCAGTTCCACGGGTTTTTATTGGGGGTGGTGGAGCGGGGCGGGGGGTGGTGACAGTGGAGGGAGTGGGGTAGGATGGGTGTTTGGGCCCTGCTCAGCAGTGCCCCGGCGCTGTATCTGGCTCTGCTTAGAGGTCACCCCGAGCAGTGCTTAGGACTGACCAAGGTCAACAGCAAGCAGGGCAAGCACCTTAACCCCTGTACTATCTCTCCCAACCCGCAGATGTCCTTCTTAATTCTTCCCTTCCCATCGGGTTTTCTAGTCACAGTTCCTGTCTTCTTTCATTCGAGTCCACTTCGTCATCTCTGTTTCTCTTTCTCTCCCCGAACTTCATTTCCAGCCACCCTTCCCTGCAAGGGCTCATCACAGTAAGGCTGGCTTATTTCTGCTCCATGGAAAGGGGCTCCAAGCTGAGAGGGGACTGGATGGGGGGAGGAGAGGAGAGGCAGGTGCGCTCAGGTAGCTGGGAGGTGGCATTACCTGGAGGCTCCCTCACACCCGTGTCTGATTCCTGGATGACTCAAAGACTAGGTTCGTTGAGAACTGTTGGCCATGTACTCTACACGTGTGTGGTGGGGGCTTCTCAAAACAGCATGGTGCTGAGTGGGAACACCTTGCAAGAGTACCAGAAAGAAGCTGCATGTTTGAGGGTTTTGGGGAGAGGTGGGGTCGCCAGACCTGGCAGTGCTCAGGGAGTTCTGTGTTCAGGGGTTGCTCCTAGTGGTGCTCAGGGGGACCATGTGGTACAGGGGATAGAATCCGGACCTCCTGTACACAAAGCATCCACTCACACATTAAACTGTCTCTCTGGCCCCAGAGACAGCATGATTTTTTTTAAATTTTTTTGTTTCCCACTTTATACATTTATTTATACATTGTGGTTTACAGAGTTGTTCATGATGATTTGTTACAGGCATTTAGTATTCCAACACTAGTCCCATCACCCCTCAAGCCTGTCCCCAGCACAAGCCCACAATAATTGCATAATATTTTTTTAGTGTCATAGTCTCAGAAGTTATACAGAAACTTGTCATAAGCCTTCCAGATTCAAGGAGACAAGACTTATGACCCTTCTTTTTATGAGAACTGTCATATTTAAGTCATTTCTTTTTATCACCACACACAAATGAAACTATCTGTCCTCATAAACATCATTATTAGCAAGAAACAGCGATGATTAGGTGTATAATACTCAAGAAAATTAATTAAGGACTGATCTCCTTATGTGAGTATTGGATGAAAGTCTTATTTTCTTGATCAGTATAGTCGAAGAAACTCATGTTCTTGTTCATCTAAACAGCTGACTTGCAAAAGTGAAAAATTCAGGAGCCATGTTTCTAAAGGATAGGAAGAAAGATTTTAGATACAGCGTAGGTCTGACCTCAGAAAAACCTGGAAGACAAATTTATGAATTGCCCGGAAGGATCAAAGGGACTGAAGAAGAACACTGTATTGAGATAAATGGTCTGACCTGCCAAAGAGTTAGACAAGATGACCAAGTTGTAAGATCTTCGACAAGTCATCCAAACGCGTAAGACCCAATTTCTCATCCATATTATAAGAGCCTAAAAGTACCAACCCCAGAAATCTGAGGATTAAACAAGATCCCAGGAAAGTGCTGTGCGCACTAGCACAGAGCAGATTCGCAAGGAGGCAGATTTCCTCCACATCTGCAGGTGTAGAACCTCCCCCAAATACTCAGCAGACCTTGAGTCCAGTCAGGACTGAAGCTGCATCCATAGCTCTCCTCTCTCCCTCTCCCAAGCCGTGAGCCCAGGTGTTGCGTGTGAGCACCCATCTTGGAGCAGAATCAAAAGACTGTCCAAGACGAGATCCTTCTCACTAGTTCTCTTGTGCACATGTAAGGCCGCGCTAAACGCTTCTCTCCCGTCAGCAGAGGGTCCAATTTCCCTCTGAATTCATATTGGCACAGATGGCCTTGCGAACCGAAGAGAGGGCATTACATGCTCTCTGACAGTTTTTACAATGAAAAGGGGAGTCTCAGGAAACAAATCACTGTGTACTGACTTGGCAATTAATTCTGGCTAAAAAGGAAATATAGTTTCCTTGAAAAATTGGTTTAATTTCTGTATTCAGACTTACATGCCCCTTGACCTGCTCTTATCAGTGAAGGTTAAACAGAGGGCACTGGGTCACAGCATGCTGGACGCCACTAATTAAATAGGGGCCCCCACGCTGAGAAGGTGTCTCTAGTTGATTTAAAGGAGCGGAGTCCCCTAACACCCCCGGAAGTCTCTTTGGAGCTAAAAGGAAAGAAAAAAAACGTTTTGTCTCCATGCAACCAAAACGGAAGGGCACTTTTTAAAATCTAACACCGATGTTGTTCGGCCACTGTCACCAAAAGGACAGGCTTCCCCCACCGTTAGGCAAAGCAAATGCATTTCAGTCCGCAGACTGCCGCAGACCTGACCTGGCTCAGACCCGCCAGGACGTCCCATCAGGAGATGAGTTTAAAACGCAGCCCTGGCGCTTCATTCCAGTGTGGGCTGCGAGCGTGTTCTCGGGCCTTGCCTCTCCCCTTTGCCCTCCTGTCGCTCTGTCTGCTTGACATGTTTATTAAATAGAAGCGTGAGCTGCACAGGCGGGCGGGCAGGCACTCTCCTCCCCGCTGCCCACCACCAGCAGCCCTGCGCCTGTCTGGAGAAAGGATCCCAGAAGCCTAACGACTTCGGGGGGGGGGGGGGGGGGGGGGCGCGGCTGTCCAGTTTGTTTTTTCTTTTTTCTTGGGGGAGTAGTTGTACATTTTTGTTACATTCTCTCGAGAACCTTGCATGTGCAGAGCTATTTATTTGAACAACAACTAGTTGTTATTTGTATGTGTCTCCCGGCTGCATCCAAGAAAAACATTTAGAATTGTATTTTGATGCCTGTGTACTGGAAAATGTTTTCTCCTTCGGCCTTGGGGACTTGGAGAAAAGAACCGCAGGTTAGCTCAATGGTTGGTAGGTAGACGTGTAGCTGAATTGCAGAAGTTCTTGAATTTTCCCACAGTTTTGCCAGTGAAAAATCGACATATCCAAATGGAATAAATAACCATGCTGTAGGGGGATAATGTATTACCCCACGTCGTTGGTCTGCTGCGCTGCAGCCTCTGTTTCTGCTTAGGTTGGAGATCGTATTTCTAATGGTCACTCACCTCTTCCCTGGTGTGTTTAAGCACAGTGCCCAGCAGACGTGCAGGCCTTTGCGGCGTTCCAGCAGGAAGCGTCCAGCGTCCACTCTGGCTCTGTGATTTGCAGCGCTGCCCCAAGGCTGAGTTCTAACAGCTCCTTGTCTCTATCAGTCCATTGTAGGGGCAGAGGGCTTGTCCCTGGCCTTCCGGCACATCGCCAGCTCCCTCCTGGGCCACTGCAGCCAAGTCTCCTGTGAAAGTCTCCTTCATGAGGTCATCGTCTGTGTGGGCTACTTCACTGTCAACCACCCGGATAACCAGGTAAGGGGCCCCGGGAAGTGGCAGCAGCTGAGAGTGCAAGGTACAGGAGTGAGAAAAGGCAGGCTCCCAGAAAAGGGACCCAGCTGCCCTGCGTATGGCTCAGCAGTGGCCTGGCTCGGAGGCCACGGCTCTGACTTGTTTCCAGAAGAGTTAGTTGCTTAGCACAGAGGTTTTATTCCACAGACACTCGAGGTAAATCTTTTTTTTTTTTTTTTTTTTTTTTTTTTTGCTTTTTGCGTCACAACACCCAGCATTGCACAGGGGTTTCTCCTGGCTCTGCACTCAGGAATTACTCCTGGCGGTGCTCAGGGGACCATATGGGATGCTGGGAATCGAACTCGGGTCGGCCGCGTGCAAGGCAAACGCCCTGCCTGCTGTGCTATCGCTCCAGCTCCTCCAGCTAAATCTTTCTCATAAAGTGTTCTTAAACCACACGGAACCTTCCACTTCCTCACTGTGGGGATCCTCACGCTCTGTTCTGTCCCTGCATATTTGTTTCTGGACTTGTTTCAATTTGGGGGCCACATCCAGCAGTGCTCAGGGCTGACTCCTGGCTCTGCGCTCAGGAATCTCTCCTGGGCATGCTCAGGGGACCATTTGGGGTGCTGGGGATTGAACTGGGTTGGCCGTATGCAGGGCAGGTGCCCTATCCTCTCTCCTGTCTCTTCGGCCCCACTGCTTGGGTGAAGTAGCTTGCATCTTTTGACTCAGGTGACTTTGCAGATGCTATTAGTCAGTCCTCTTCACCCTGAGCATTTGCTTCCATGCCTAGAAGCTGCCAGATGGTGCTGAAGGAGAGTCTGAGACGGCAGGGCCCCGCCCTTCCTAGTTAAGGAGTCCTTCGCTCCTCACTGTTTTGATTCCTTGGTCTCTGAGCAAAATTTCATTTGTAAATTAAGGCCCTCGTGCTTTAAGAAATTGGGAAGCTGGTGTTATGAATTGAAAGAAATGTATAATAATAAGGGCTGGAGCGATAGCACCGCGGTAGGGCGTTTGCCTTGCACACAGCCAGCCCAGCCGAGCTGGGTTCTGTTCCTTCGCCCCTCTCGGAGAGCCCGGCAAGCTACTGAGAGTATCTCACCCGCACGGCAAAGCCTGGCAAGCTACCCGTGACGTATTAGATATGCCAAACACAGTAACAAGAAGTCTCAAAAAAATGGAGACGTTACTAGGCCCGCTCGAGCAAATCGATGAAGAATGGGAGGACAGTGACAATGTATAATAATAAAATGTTTCTTATTTTTAAAGCAAGAACTCTGCTCTAATGTACTGCCTGATACTAAGTTTGATGCTGACATATCATATAGCAATTCCTGATGCCCTCGTTTATCCAAAGCCTCCTACTTAGTATCCTTAATTGTGGGAATTAAGGCTCAGAAAAAGGCTCAGGCAACTCTCAGCCCTCACCCTGAGCTTACCGGGCTTCCCTTTGGGCAGGTCTCTCACAGCTAGGCTCACTGGGGCTATTAGCCTCCAGCAGATTAGACCAGAGCAAGAGGACAGGAGATGGCTGCAGTGTCAGCCCAGTCCAGTGTAAGTAGCTACGCATCAAGAGCTGAAATTGCTTCACGATGGAGAAAAAAGGTAGAAACAACAACGACCAGTAAGGCAGGCCCAAGAACTCCAAAAACCGAGCTAGCTGGGTTCAAAGGACGCTGAGCCTTGTCTTCCTGTGAATTCACCCAGACTAGCGAAATGCATATTTTCATAAGCACTTGTTTTTAATTGTTCTATTACAAAAACGTCCTTACTGATGGTAGAAAGGATAGGCAAGTGTCAGAGATGGAATCACAGTTATTCGCCCTCCAAGATTATCACTGTTAACATTTCGCCTGCCTGCCTGCCTGCCTTACAGTCTCTTCTATGGCTGTTTGATTTTTCCGGTTTGTGAAACATAATTAACATACGTTTTATGTAAGGGTTTGGGTTTGAGGGCCACACCCAGCGGTGTTCAGGGCTTACTCCTAACTCTGCACTCAGGGTTCATTCCTGAGAGGGCTCCGTGGACCCTCGGGGTGCCAGGGATATAATCTGGGTAGACTGCATGCACTGCAAGTGCCCTGCTCGCTCTCCTGTATTTCTATCTCTGTACTATATAAGTTTTCAGTAAAAGGTAAAAAGGCAAAGGCCCTCCCGTTGATCGTCGATTTGCTCGAGCGGGCCCAGTAACGTCTCCATTGGAGACTTTGTTGTTACTGTGTCTGGCATATCGAATACTCTTGGTAGCTTGCCGGGCTCTCCCAGAGGGGCGGAGGAATCGAACTCGGGTCGGCCATGTTGGCCGCTTGTAAGGCGAACGCCCTACCACTGTGCTATCGCTCCAGCCCACTAATAATAAGGTAAAAAAAAGGTAAAGGCCCTCCCGTTGATCGTCAATTTGCTCGAGCAGGCCCAGTAACCTTTCCATTGGAGACCTTGTTGTTACTGTGTCTGGCATATCGAATACTCTCGGTAGCTTGCCGGGCTCTCCGAGAGGGGCGGAGGAATCGAACTCGGGTCGGCCATGTTGGCCGCTTGTAAGGCGAACGCCCTATCGCTGTGCTATCGCTCCAGTTTTCAGTATGATGATTTAATATTTGTATGTATTGCAAACTTTTTTTTAATTGAGTCACTGTGAGATAGACCCTCACAAAGTTGTTCATGATTAGATTTCAGTCATACCGTGTTCCAACACCCATCCCTCCACCAGTGTACATTTCCCATTACCAATATCCCCAGGTTCCCTCCCATCATCCCTCATCCCCGGCCTGCTTCTATGACAAGCACTTCTCTCCCTCCCTCCCTCCCTCTTCCCCTCCCTCCCTCCCCTCCTCTATCCCTCCCTCCCTTTCTCTGCCTCTTCCTCCCTCCCTCTCTCTCGTCATCTCCCTTCCTCCCTCCCCTCCTCTCTCTTTCTCCCCCTCTCTCCTCTTTATCTCTCCTTTTGGGCATTGTGGTTTGAAGTACAGATACTAAACGGTTGTCATGGTATGTCACTTTACCTACATTTAACACTCAGTTCTTGTCCAGCATGATTATTTCCAGCCATTATTGTCATCTCTGTTCTCTATCTTACCTACCCTTCACCCCACACACACTTGTGGTAGATTCCAACCATTGACTAGTCCTCCTAGAGTATTGCGAATGGTTTGACATTGAATTTTATTAAAGTTATCATATATATTAAATTTCTTGTGATAAAAATTTTAAAGGTAAAGGTAAAGGCCCTCCCGTTGTTCGTCAATTTGCTCGAGCGGGCCAAGTAACGTCTCCATTGGAGACTTTGTTGTTACTGTGTCTGGCATATCGAATACTCTCGGTAGCTTGCCGGGCTCTCCGAGAGGGGCGGAGGAATCGAACTCGGGTCGACCATGTTGGCCGCTTGTAAGGCGAACGCCCTACCGCTGTGCTATCGCTCCAGCGATACCAGGGATCAAACTCAAGTCAGTTGCATGCAAGGCAACCATCCTACCATCTGTACTATTGCTCCAGCCCCACATTCTTTAAATTTTAATTTTATTTAGTCGATGGGTTTAATTTGTTCCTCTTTTATCTACAGAGGTATCACAGTTTACAATAATAGTGAAGCCACTGTAGTTGCAGAGCTACTACATCAGTCCCTCTGCCACTGTCTTGGTTTCCTCCACCATTACCTCATGGTCCACTCCCCTCCCCCTCCTCCATCCCCAGTTCTACTGATCATGTCTCAGGATTTGTTTCCACTGGGAGTGTCTAATCCCTTTCTTTTGTTTCTTTATATTGCTCAGGAGTGGGATCACTTGACTTTTACTTTCTGACTCACTTCACTTAGCATGACACCATCCACTTCCAACCAAATTGCCACAAACGGCAAAATTTTATCTTTTGTTCTTTGCTAAATAGTATTCCACTATGTATAATACTGTTTCCTTACCCACTCAGCTGTTATTGGGCATCTGAGTTGTATCCAGATGTTGGCTGTTGGAAGTCGTACTGTGATAAAATTAATCCAAAAACTATCTTTTTGGATTAATGTTTCTGTGTTCTGGGGCAGATTCCCAGGAGTGGAATTGCAGGGTCATATTATGAAGTTCAATTCATAATATTTTGAGAAGTCACCACACCCTTCATTTTCCAGAGAGGCTGAATGAATCAAGAAAGCGTTCCCACCAGCAGAGAATGAGGGTTTCTTTTGTGAATATCATTTTTAATGGTTTGCATGACTTTATCTTGTGTCGACAGCTGAGGGTTTACCCAACAATTTCCCACTTTATCCTTGTTTGCCCCATGTCAAGACACTGGTACATCTACTGCACTCACACAAAGGTGATGTGTGTGTATGTGATATTTTGCTGTGTGTACATTTCTGCAACCAAAAATTAAGTGCCTTCAGCACATTTGCGTATTGGAATGATTTGAAACTTTTTGTTTAAAACCAATTCTGTAGTGATGAATTTGCTACACTCAGAAGCATGTGGGATTTCAGACAAGGTTTCTGCTGAAGGCAGATCAAGGTCTAATCCACTCCCGTGGCTGAAACACACGCTCTGGGTATCTGTGAGCTCACGGGAATGAATGGGGAGTGGGGTCGGAGGAACTGGTTTTGGGAGGTGGCATGTTCGAACCGACTTAGAGCTGAGGGCACTGTCATAGCTAGGCACGCCGGGACAGGACAAAGCTTCTCATCCACCGGAGGGGGGCATGGAGTCATTTAGCTGGAGACAGAATCACCTTAAGGCTTTGTCAGTGGGGAAGGTTTAGAAGAAGGTTTGGCGATCATTGTCATCATTGTCAAGAAGAGAGCTCACTCTGAGGAAGGCATTAGAAAAGTGAAAAAAACCAGAGCTTTTGTGCTGGCCCCCTGCCTCCCAGGAGACTTGAAATTGGACATCCACTTCCAGAGCGTAGGTGAGAGGGGCCAGCTCGGCCAGGAGGCGGGTGCCAAACTTCTGCTGTCCCTGAAAAGAAACAGCATGAATAAGATGGAGAGAAGAACGGAAAGAATGGTGGGAATGATGGTCACGGTCCAACACTAGGACCTC